CGCTTCAAATGTGGCGCGCCGCGCCGGCGGCCCGCGTAAGCCACCGCGTAGGGTCGCTACGTCACCTCGCGTATGATCCGCTTTTGATCGTCGCCCATGTGGGTCACCCCCCATGACCACCTGTCCGAAGGACCAGTTCTTCCTCCCGGGTGGGCAGCTTTTCGACGGCCCCCGGGCCCCGTGGAGGGCCCCGTGGAGGGCCCGAGGGCGGCGAGAGGCATTCCCAGAGGGCCCCCTTTTCCTCCAGGACCCGCGCCTCTTGTGCTCAAAGACCGCCCGCCCGCGCCCCACCTCCCGCCGCCGTGGGCGATGTACACATGTACATATGTCTACTGATATACATATATGTATACGTGAATGTATATATGTACAGTATGTGTGAATGCTATTCATGATATATCTATATGTGTATACCTAGAGGCGGAGCCGCGCACTGGCGCGCGTGCACCCGCAAGACAAATTAATCGAATAAGAAAGAACGGCATAACCATCGACTTGTGGTGCTCTGCGCAGATTCCTTGGATCTGCGGTTGGCCCCCCCTGGCGGCGCCTCCGCCGCCGCCCCTGGCGCGCTCCGCGCGCCAGGGAGGGGGGCCCAGCGTAAATCCAAGAAGTCCGCGCGGAGCGCCACAAATCCGCGCGGAGCGCCACGAGTTTATGTTTATGCTTTCGGCGTTTAATTCAGAGAACGCAGTTTTGGGGCCAGGGCATGAATTTGCAAAGCATGTACGAGAACAGTCTGGCAGCCAGGGTCGACTGGAGAGAGATTTTCTTACATGCGGAAGCTGGGGGCTTATACAGAAAGAAGAAGATCCACACCAAAGAACCACAGTTTGGCATATCACCAGCTTCCGTGTGCCTGTTGCCTCCTTGTTGCCTCAACCTCTTGTTCTTGCTTCCGACGTCGCGCGGCCCCGTCCGTCCCCTTGGCATCGCTCCGACGTGTGCATTGTTCCTCCGCGGGGATCATTGAGGAGCGCCGTGGAGCATCCTGTGAGAAAAAACACGCACGAAACCTACCAAGAATGCACGTGGAGGGACGTCCGAGCGATGGCATGCCCCCGCACCCGCCCACGCGCGCTGCATCCGGCCGCCAGGGTCGTGGACGACGTGCCCCCGGTGCTGACACGGCGATGCGCCGGGGCGAGCGCCTCGCGGCGCCCCCCGGGGGCTCTCCTCGAGGACACGTGAGAGTGACCTTTCGCCGGAGTGACCTTCGGCGCGGGCCCCATGGGGTCAGCCGATCGCAGAACGCGATGCGGCAGTGGCGCCTTGCGCGCCTGTGTTCGGCCCCCCCGCGGCCCCCCAAAAGCCGTGCACCAGAGGCTGCTCTTGCCCCCAGGGGTCACGCTTGCGTGTGGTCGATCTCCGGGCGGTGGCCGCGCCTCCCAGGGCACACAGGCACCGCGCGGCAGCCGGAAGAAGAGCACCGCGCCCGCCGCCAGAGGGGGGCACGCGAGGGCTCGGCGGGGGCCCTTGAGTCCGAAGGGCGGGGGGAAGAGGTTCAGAGGGGGAAGCAGTACCCAGATCGCTACCCTTGTGATCGTTTTCTTATTGATTGTTTTGCCGATCGGCGCGGGCCCTCGCACCCCCCCTCCACCCCCCCATGGAGTAGATCTTGGCTGTTCTTGGCGCCTGTTTCGAACAGGTGGGGTCTTCCTCATAGGACGCATGCAAACAGTCGCACTAAGCAGAGGTCCGGAGCCATAACCCCCCCCCCTTGCGCCCAATGTCGAAACGCCGAATGAGAAAACGCTGACCTTCTCTCGTTTCCCCTTTTTGGGGCGCTCCTGGGAGGCCTCGTCGTCACCGCCGGATTCGCCTTGAAATTCTGGTCAGAACGCACCCCGGGAGAGGTCCACGGAGTAGCGGTATCGGTACCTGTTGGTTCCCCTCGAGGTATCCATACTCGGTGGCGAGCGAAGGGGGGAAGTGAGGAGGCCTTCTCAGAAGGCGGCGGCGGGACCTTTCAGAAGCCTTCGCGTCTTCTGAAAAACAGTTTCCTGCGCCTTCGGGGAAGGCTCCGGAGACTTCTCAGGAGGCTGGGGGACTTCTGAGCCTTCTAAGAAGGCCCGTTCCCTCACACTTCCCCATCTCGCTCGCCACCGATTGAGGGAAGGGACCTGGAGGATTGGGAGGGACCCTGGGTTGATTTTACATTATCTGGGGCATCAGTCAGTATCGTTTGACCGATCCCTATCTCCATCCCCATCCCGATGGCCACCATCCCACCACCCCAGTTGGGGATATGCCCCTCGAGACCCGAAGGGGACAGTCTGTATCCCCATCCAGGGGAGCGATCGGCTAGTGGGCCTGAGCCACACCGGTGGGGATAGTTACTCACTCACAAGCTATACGCTGGAGCGCGTGGCCGTCAGAAGACAATGCCAGTCTATTCTCATCGTTTTGCGGGAGCGGCGGCACGACGGCGGTCGCATAATTTACAACGTGCGTGGCAGGAGGAGGAGGAAGAAGAGGAGGAGGAAGAGAAGGAGGAGGAGGAGGAGGAGGAGGAGGAGGAGGAGGAGGAGGAGGAGGAAAGGGGGGGTACACCTGGGACGCAGCGAAAATATCGCGGGGACCGAAGCCTGGCGGGGCATTCCTCCTCTTTCCCCCTGCGCTGGGGATACCAAGGGCGGACAACTCCTGGCCCCCCTGCCGTGCACACGACCTACAGTTGCCGGCGTCCAGGCCGTTACGCCGGTGGGGATAAGTATCGGTGGAACGATGCTGAGTTCGGGGGGTCGCAGAGGGAGGGTTATATCCCAAGGTGGGGCTGGGGAGCGGGCCCACCCGGAGGCTCCCGTGCAACGCGTCTCCTTCTTCCAGGAGCCGTTCGGAGCGGTTTTCCTGCCAGCCCCAGCTTTGCCCCTACCCCACCTTTGTGCCCCCGCGATTTATCATGGGGGGCCCCAAAATATACACCACCACCACCTCCCTCGCCCCCTCCCTCTCCCAGGAAAGAGGAGAGGAAGAGGAGGATAGAGGAGGGAGGAGGAATCGACGTGGTGGTGGTGTGTATTCTTGGGGCCCCCCAAGTCAGGGCCCCATCCGTGAGGGCCATCTTTGCACCGCCGAAGGTGGGGGGCGCTCGGGGGGCCGGGGGGGGGCGGGGGGCAGAGCCCCGGCAGGGAATCTGCTGCGGTGGACGCCTCGAGCGCAACGGGTAAGTCGGGCCTGTCCCCCTTACAGGGCGAATATTCAAGAATAGTGAAACAACAGTCGAGGGAAGATTCTTCGACTATTCTTGAATATTTGTAGAACATGTTTTGATTCTTCTTCTTTCTGGCCCAAGGTTGGCCTGTAGGGGGACAGGCCCGACCTAACGCAACGGCCCACAAATCGCGCACCAAAGGTCGCGGCCGACTTCGGGCGATCCAGGGTCGGCGAGGGGCTCTGCCATTTTCGGTCTCGTGGGGAGGGGCTGCCCTTCAAGAGGATCGAGAGGCGAATTGTGTGTGTGTGTGTGTGTGTGTGTGTGTTTCGCCATTTTCGCCATGTGTGGAGTGCTTTTCATTTGGGAAGCGCCTCCGTGGTCGTTCGAGGATCTAAGGTCGCGAAGGCGTTGCCCGAAATGGAGTGAGGAAGATGGGGGCGGGGCAGGGGGGGGCGAGCTCTCGCGGCCACAGCCTGGGGAGACGCGAGGGTGGGAGAGGGGGGGGAGGACGCTCCCCCACCCGCAGCTCCCTGCCCATCTCGGTAGATGCTTCAGTGGCGTGGATGAGCTTCCTGGAGTTCGGAGGGGGGCGCGCGTGCGGCCAGGGGATTCGAGGCCGCGGAGGCGTTTCCCGAAATTTGGAGAGGGGACGTCCGCCCTTCCCTCGCTGTCGCCCTCGCCCCCCCCTCCCCCCCTCCCTCCCGCCCCCCCCCTCGTCGCAGGAGGAAAAGAACACAGACACAAGGAAACGTCGATCCGAGTCGCGCATCCAGCGCGGGGCCTCCGCAGGTTCCGCCCGCGGGTCCAGCTGGGCCTGCCGTCTGGCTCCACCTGCTGGGCCCTCGGCTGGCCGTGGAGGGCCTCTCTCTGCGCGCGCGCGCCGCGCCGCGCCCGTAGCGCCGCCGCGCCCGCCGCGCCGCCTCGCAGGGAGGGGCTCTGGCCAGGGGGCGTAGGCGGGCCAGCAGGGAGGGGGAGGCTGGCCAGACCAGGTGGCCCATCTTGATCCGATCCTGCTGCTGCTGCTCCTCCTCCTCCTCCTCCTCCTCCTCCTCCTCCTCCTCCTCCTCCTCCCTCTTTCTTCTCCTCCTCCTTCTTCTCCTCCTCCTCCTCCACTCCTCCTCCCTCCTCCTCCTTCTCCTCCTCCTCCTCCTCCTCTCTCCCTCCTCCTCCTCCTCTCCTCCTCCTCCTCCTCCTCCTCCTCCTCCTCCTCCTCCTTCTGCTCCCTCCTTCTTCTTCTCCTCCTCCTCCTTCTTCTCCTGCTCCTCCACTCCTCCTCCTCCTCCTCCTCCTCCTCCTCCTCCTCTCCTCCTCCTCCTCCTACCTCCTCCTCCTCCTCCTCCTCCTCCTCCTCCTCCTCCCTCCTCCTCCTCCTCCTCCTCCTCCTCCCCCTCCTCCTCCTCCTCCTCCCGCTCGGTCCGATCCGGGTCCGGTATTCCGACGATCCGCTGCGGCTGGATGCTTGCATGGCGGTGTTGTGCATGCTAGCGCGGCCGATCCGATTCGGTGTCGACTCCGTGCCGATCAAGGCAGATCCAGCGTAAGCTACGTTTCGATCCGATTCCCCTTTTCGATGCGCACTGATCCCGGCAGTGCCGCTGGGCCTCCGCGGGCCCGATCCTTGGCGGGCACCTGCTCCGGGCCAGGCCCGGGGAGGGGGGGGGGGACGGGCACTCCCCCCAGAATTCAGGCGGGCATGTCCCTCTATAGGAGGAATATTCAAAAATAGTCAAAACGTAGTCTGGGGGCGAGTTTTATGTTTTGGTTATCTTTGATGAATATTTTCTGATGTTGTTTGACTTCTCTTCCTAAATCCGCCTGTAGGAGGACATACCCGACCTAATCCCAGATCTGGGGCTTCCAGGCACGCGCCTGCAGAGGCGCGGTGCTGCCGGTTGGTCGGCTTTTCTCCCTCTCCCTCGGTGGAAGAGCCCCCTAGGCGCGCCCTCATCCCCGTGCTGCGGCGAGCCGCCGCCGTCGTCAGCCGCCGCTGTCGCCGAGCCGCCGCCGTCGTGGCCGCCGCCACCGTCGTCGCCCGCGGGGGGGCCAGGGTGTCCAGGGCGGGGAGGGGGCCGCGGTGGCCTCCTTGTCACAAGCATATTCTGGAGGCTACGGTCTCGTTCACCCCGTCTCACGTAGGCCCCCGCACTCGCCCGCAGTGCGGACGAGTGCCCAGGCCTACGTGTCGGCTACGCGTAAGAGTGACCATTCGCCGGAGTGACCTTTGATGCGGGTTTCCTGGGGACCGCCGGTCGCCGAATGTGATACGAGCAGCTGCTTCCAAGCCCGGGTTTTGCCCGCTGGCCCCCCTGAAGTTGCGCACCAAAGGTCACTCTTGCCCACGGTCACTCCTTCGTGTAGCCGATCGTGAGACTCGAGCATGACGTTCGAATGCGTCTCTCGCGAGGGGGTGCCACCAGCCCTGCAAGTTGCATTGTCTCTTCGGGGCGAGCGAGTCAGCAATTCGTTAGTGCCGCCTCCCTGTTCTTGATGTTCTCCAAATAGGCTTGCCCTATAGGAGTCCTAGCTCATCATACGAAATGGTTCTTTAGGACCCTACCCCCTTTTTCCAATGGCACTTCCCTTATTGCGGTGGCCTCCGGCCAGTGCCGCGCTCCTGATGCTATTGTTGCTGGAATGGACGATGACGACGACAACGGACGACCAACGGTCGACGAGCGGGATAATTTCGACGACGACCGACGAAGAAGTTAATGACGACGAACCGACGACGACGACGACGACGACGACGACGACGACGACGACACTGACGACTGACGACGACGACGACGACGACGACGACGACGACGACGACGACGACGACGACGACGACGACGACGACGACGACGACGACGACGACGACGACGACGACGACGACGACGACTGACGACGACGACGACGACGACGACGACGACGACGACGACGACGACGACGACGACGACGACGACGACGACGACGACGACGACGACGACGACGACGACGACGACGACGACGACTGACGGCAAACGGCTGCCGACGGCCGACGACCGACGACTAGTGACGGCGACGGGTGGAAGGTTCTTCGTTCATCGCTTTCGCTTCCGAGCAATACCAAGTCAGGCCGTGCACCTCTGGCCTGGCAGCACGCGAGTGAGCGCCTCTTGGGGCCTCTTGGGCCTTAGGGGCTTCTTGGGGGCCTTTGGGGCCTCTTGGGGGCCTCTCGGGGTCCTCTCGGGGGCCTCTTGGGGACCTCTTGGGGGCCTCTGGGGGCCCCTTGGGGGCGCCTCGGGGGCATCTTGGGGGCTCTTCGGGTCATCTTGGGGTGGAGGACTAGAAGGGTCCGTTCGGGTTCACCCTCTTGAGGCCATCTTGGGGGCCTCTCGGGGTCGTCTTGGGGGGGGGCCCTCCAGGGCTATATTGGGGCCCTCTTGGACCGTCTTGGCTCCTCTTGGGGGCCTCTTGGGCTTTGTTGGGGCGATCTTGGGGGCCTCTCGGACCGTCTTCGGCGCTTCTAAGACGGAAAAGGCGATCATGTGAAAATGCTTCAGAACCTATTAACAACTTTATTAGTGTACCCTCTTGGGGCCCTCTTGGGGTCCTCTTGGGATCTCCTTGAGGCGTCTTGGAGGCCTCTTGGGCCGTCTTCAGGCCATCTTGGGCGTCCAGGAGCGCTCTTGGGCCGTTTCGGGCGCCTCCTGGACCGTCTTGGTGGCCTCCTGGGCCCCTTTTGGCCCGTCTTGGGGCGGTTTGGGATTCCCGGGTGGGGGGGGAAAGAAAGGGTGGACCCGATGACCCCCCCCCCCTCCCCCCCGGCAGAGCCCCCCCGGCCCCCCCCAGCAGAGCTGAAGTTCAGGTTGTAGCTTTCTTAAACTCACACGCCGGATCGGCGGATTTCCAATGGCACCCCCATCCCCCCTTTTTCCAATGGCCCCTCCTTATTATTTCCAATGGCACCCCCCAGCTATTTCTAATGCACCCTGCTCTTGCGTGCTTGCTCTCACTTGCTTGCTCTTGCTTGCCCTCGCGTGCTTGCACTTGATCGTTGGCTCTTGCTTGCTTGTTATTGCTCGCTTGCGCTTGCTTGCTTCTGCTTGCTTGCTTGCGGTTGCTTGATTTTGCTCCTCCCGTCCTGCTCCCGTCCTCCTTTCGTCCTCCTCCCATCCTCCTCTCGTCCTTCTGCTGTGCTCCTATCTATTCGGAGTCAACGCTGGCTGATATTATGAAGCACTGCTCAGAACATGTTTCTAATAGGAGACCGAGGACCACCATTGATTGATCACGCACTGGCTTAGCTGCCCTGATGAGCTCGTTTTGAATCGCAACACGTACCGTGTTCAACTTGTCCTTGATATCACGTTGCGTGTTGGCTCGGCACGTGTTGGCCCACGTCCCGACGAACGTATCTCGCCATACCTACGTTTTCGGTCTACGTGTTGAGCTCCGAGTCAACACGCTGCGGGCTGCGTGTTGCATATCGGGGCAGCGAAGCTCCGCCACGCGTAGAGGGGTCAGGAGGAGGGGGGAAGGTTTCTTAGAAGGAGGCTGCTTTTCTCAGAAGGCGCGGGCCTTGCCTCTACATGTAGGGCCAGCGCCGTTTACGAAGCAGCTTCCTAAGAAGCCTGTCCCCTCCCCCTACCCCCATGTGCGCGCCGCCAACAGAAGGACAGCGCCAGGCACCCTGCTTCTGACCTGGGCGCCGCCGCCGGCTTCCACAAGCACCGGGGCGATGTCTGACTTCTAGGCCTCCCAGATGGGTTTCGAGCGGATGGCCTCCGATGATCGCGCCGCATCGCCGATGCATCGGCGTTCGCGCCGCATGCCGAAGAGGAGGAGGAGGAGGAGGAGGAGGAGGAGGAGGAGGAGGAGGAGGAGGAGGAGGAGGAGGAGGAAGAGGAGGAGGCCTCCTCCTCCAGCTTCCTCCCCCTGCTCCTCCGCCTCACCCCTCGCTCCTCGCTCCTCCTCCTCCTCCTCCTCCTCCTCCTCCTCCTCCTCCTCCTCTCCCAAGGGGGTACGATCGAGCCCCATTTGTTCTCCACGCTGGCGCCGGCGGTCGGTCGCATCGTGGTAGTTCAGGGCGCCGGCGGTCGGTCGTTCGTTGGGCCGCTCGTCCTCGCTCGTCGGCGGGCCCGCGGGGGAGGGGCGGGGCTCACCCGCGCGCGGCGGGCGGCCGCCGCGAGAGCTGGCGGGCGTGTTGGGCGGGTCGTGCGGCGAGCCCAGCGAGCCTGGTGGCGCGGGCGGGCGCTGAGCGCTCGGCCCTAAGGGCCGTTCGGTGGGGCCAGCTTGAGCCCAGTGGCGCGACGCAACAAGATGGGGTCGTCTGCGCTGACATTCGCGCGCAAGCTGCCCGCGTAGGGCCGCGCGTAAGCGCCCTCGCTTCCAGCGCAGCGTGCCGCGCCGGCGGCCCGCGTGAGCCACCGCGTAAGGTCGCTATACCATGTCGCGTAAGACTCGTTTTTGATCGTCGCTCAATTGAGCGATGAAGGAAATCCAGGACTCCTAGATGGGGTCGGAGCAGATGGGATCGGAGGACCGCGCTGCATCGGCGATGCATCGGCGATGCATCGGCGATGCGGCTCGATGTGGAGCCCGATTTGCTCCACGCCGACGGCGCCGTTGTCGCCAATGCATCGCCGATGCATCGCCAATGCATCGCCGATGCATCGGCGATGCGGCGTAATCCCTCGACCTCACCTACTTCGACCCCATCCAGGAGGCCTCTAATTGAGCGACGAGGGAAACAGTCGAGTGGGGGATCGGCAACCGAAATGACTGATACCGCAACGTTGGAGTGTTCGTCGAGTCTACGACAAATACGTAGGATGTCCTGTAGATCTACGAGCATTCTACGTATGTTCGCATGTTCGACGAGAAAAAAATAGTTCTGGGGAAAATCGATTCTATAGTCGATCCACTACTCGAAACAGGTTCGTCTTCACCGACATTGGTGCGCAAGCTGCTCGCGTAAGGTCTCGCGTGGGCGCGCTCGTTTCCGGTGCAGCGTGCCGCGTTGACGGCCCGCGTAAGCCGCGGCGTAAGGTCGCTGTGTTATCTCGCGTCACGCCCACATCTTTTCGTCGCTCAATTTGTTAGGTATCAGGTCACGGGAGTCTTGTGTGTCTTCGTGGTTCCATATTTCGAGTGCGTTCGCGTGCGCTACCGTTTGGTTATCTGTAAGAAAGCGCCAACTTAGGGTCGATTAGCGTCGATTGGCGTCGGCCAGCGTCGATTCGCAAGAGCCAGCAAGGTGGTATGGGAGGCTCCCATGAGTTGCCACCGAAGACTCAGAAACACGGAGTCGTCTTTATTGACATTGCCGCGTAAAATTTCCCGCGTAAGGTCTCGTGTGAGCACCCTCGTCTCCAATGTAGCGTGCCGCGCTGGCGGCCCGCGTAAGCCACCGCGTAAGGTTTAAGGTCGCTCTGCCATCTCGCGTAAGGCCTGCATCTTTTCGTCGCTCCATGGGACGACGGAGGAGGACCAGGAGAGGCAGAGGAGGGCATGCAGGCCACGATACGCCATGTAAAACCAAGTTCTCGGGCGACAAAATCTATACTGATCCTCTGCTTCCTGGCCAGGTCCATCCTGCACCCAGGAGCTGTGTATACGCCCTCCTGGCCAAGCCAGGAGGGCGCGGCGTATGCACCGCTGCTGGGTTTGGGATGGCCCTGGCCAGCGAGCAGTGGCGATGCACAGATTTCCTCGCCCCAAGTTCAAGAATGCCTGCTCTCCCTGTCCTCCTCCTCTTCCTCCCTCCCTGCTCCCTGTCTGTTGTCCTCCGTCCGTCCCTTCCCACCCGCCCGCCCGCCTCCTCCTGGCGGGCCCTGGCCTCCCGTCCGAGCGTTCGTCGGTCGTCGTCTGCGTGCTCCTCGGTCCCTCGTTTCTCTCTCTGTCGCCGTGCTGCACAAACTGCTTGGAGCCGGCGGTGCTGGGAGGGGGAGGTCCTTCCCTCCTCCTGCTCGTCCCTCGTCCTTCCTTCTCCCTCCTCCCTCATCATTCTGGCTCTCGCCTCCTTCTCTATCCTTCTCCCTCATGCCTCTCCTCCTCACCCTCTTTCTGATGTTTCGTCTCTCCCTCGTCCTTCTTCCCCCCTTCCCCGTCATTGCCGACATTATCGTCACGCCTTCCTCTCCCCGTCTTTCCCCACAGCTATTCCTCCCCATGCGGCTACTCCCCTCGCTTCTGCGACTGGTGCTCCTACTCCTCTCCTGGGTCGGGTCGACGGCCCCCGGGCGACATGATCAAGCGAGATCGCGCGTCACACGCTTCGAACCTGGGGGCCTATGACCTACTCCCATGCGCCTCCCGTCGTTCTCGCCGTCGTCCGTTGTGCGTCTTGGCCGTTAACGTGCCGCCCGTCTCCCTTTCTTGAGGATTACCAGAGGTGTCCACGGCTCAAGGTCTTCCCAGCTGCTCTTGCCGCTTTGGAGCCCTCTAGGGGCCCTCTGGGCCCCGTGAGTTTTTTTTTGTTCTCGCATTGCAGGACAGACCCGGCCTCGAGATCCAGAATCCCCTCCCAGGGTGCAGGAGGGAATAGGATGCACAGACACAATTAATCGTCGATTCCCCAGGAAATATCGGAAAATATGGGAAGTGTGGGGGAAGACAAAAACCTAGAACATCTAGGAGAGTATGGGGAATCTTGTAGTTTGTGTCTACTTATTTGTGTGCCCCAGGGCCCCCTTCACAGGGGCTAGCCCGGGCGAAGCGTGTCGCCGTGGCGTCCTCCTCCATTGCTTTGGCCATCGGGCGCCGCCCTGACACTTCAGGACGGGCCCCGCTCCGAAACCCGAGGGCCTCCCACGCGGGCCGGCGCAGGCGAAGCGTTTTGCCGTGGCGTCCTCCTCCACCGCCCTCGCGGTCGGGCGCCGCTCTAGCGTCGACCCCCCGAGGTCTCGAACCATTCCCCCCGAGGTCTCGACCCCCCAGGGTCTCGACTCGAATTGTTCACAGTGTCGACCCCCCGAGGTCTTGACCCATTCCCCCAGCACCGGTTTTTCATCCCGAGTCGCTTTTTCTGCTGGCCCCGAGGCACGTCAAGGGCCCCCAGAGGCTGCACATAGCAGCAAAAACGCCCGTCGCGATGTTCGAGCGACAGCGAGAATAGCGAAAGTAGCAGCAAACCGCCCGGCCGACGATTGCCAAATACCGAAACTGCCGAAAATCCCTGCGCGAGGAGGTTTGGGACTGGAGGGCGGGCCCAGCTCCGAGACCCGATGAGCGCTCCCACGGGGGCCGCGCGCAGGCGAGGCGCCCGAAGCGCGCTTCCATGGCGCCGCAGCTGTGGCTCAACCGGGCCGCCCCGCGGAGGCCGGAAGTGGTCGTCAAGGAGGAGCGCTGCCGCCGCCACCGCCGTCGTCGTCGTGTCCGCGGTCGAGGGAGGGAGGAGGGAGTGGAGGGGAGGAGGAGGAGGAGGAGGAGGAGGACGAGGAGGACGAGGAGGACGAGGAGGACGAGGAGGAGGGGGAGGAGGATAAGAAGGAGGATCATGCACAGGAGGAGAAGGAAGAGGAGGAGGAGGAGGAGGAGGAGGAGGAGGAGGAGGAGGAGAAGGAGGACAGGTAGTCCTTGCCGACCGTGCACGACTGCATGTTTAGGCAGTCCGTGGCGTAGGTGGATGCCCCGCTGCGCCCCCAACGATACGCCAGCAGGAAGAAGAGGAGGAAGGGAATGGGGGGAGGGGAAGGATGGGGGACTAGGAGGAGGAGGAGGAGGAGGAGGAGGAGGAGGTGGAGTCACGATGATGATGATGATGATGATGATGATGATGATGATGATGATGATGATGATGATGATGATGATGATGATGATGATGATGATGATGATGATGATGATGATGATGATGATGATGATGATGATGATGCTGATGATGCTGATGATGATGATGATGATGATGATGATGATGATGGTGATGATGATGATGCTGATGGTGATGATGATTGGGATGATGATGCTGATGATGATAATGATGAAGATGAAGATGATGATGACGATGATGACGATGATAACGATGATGGTGTTGATGACGATGATGATGATGACGATGATAACGATGATGATGATGATGATGATGATGATGATGATGATGATGATGATGATGATGATGATGATGATGCTCATGCTGATGCTGATGCTGACGATGATTATGATGCTGATGGTGATGATGCTGATGCTGATGATGATGCTGATGATGATGCTGCTGATGCTGATGCTGATGGTGATGGTGATGGTGATGGTGAGGGTGATGATGGTGATGATGATGGAGATGATGCTGATGACCATGACGATGATGATGATGATGATGATGATGATGATGATGATGATGATGATGATGATGATGATTGATGATTCTGATGATGATGGTGATGGTGATGATGCTGATGGTGGTGGTGGTGATGATGTTGATGCTGCTGATGATGATGATGCTGATGCTGATGCTGGTGCTGATGATTATGGAGATGATGCTGATGATATCGCTGATGCTGATGATGATGGTGGTGGTGATGGTGCGGATGATGATGATGCTGAAGCGGATGATGATGCTGATGATGATGAAGATGATGATGATGATGATGATGATGATGATGATGATGGTGATGATGATGATGATGATGCTGATGCTGATGCTGACGATGATGATGATGATGATGGTGATGGTGCTGCTGATGACGACGATGACGATGATGAGGATGATGATGGTGGTGATTGATGATGATGGTGACGATGCTGATGTTGATGGTGGTGGTGGTGATGACCATGATGATGATGCTGATGATGCCGATGCTGATGATGCTGATGATGATTATGATGCTGCTCATGATGATGGTGATGCGGATGATGATGTTGCTGCTAATGATGATGCTGATGATGATGATGATGATGCTGATGATGATGATGATGATGATGATGATGATGATGCCAGAGGGGAATGGGAGGGATCATAACGACCGAATGTAAGGAGGAGGACGATGCGCCCGTAGGAGGAAGAGGAGGAAGGGAGTGGGGGGAGGGGGAGGATGGGGAGGGGACTAGGAGGAGGAGGAGGAACAGGAGGATGAGTCACGATGATGATGATGATGATGATGATGATGATGATGATGATGATGATGATGATGATGATGATGATGATGATGATGATGATGATGATGATGCTGATGATGATGATGATCATGATGATGATGCTGATGATGATGATGATGATGATGATGAATCTGATGATGATGATGATAGTGACGACGATGATGCTGATGATGATGATGATTGCGATGATGACGATGATGCTGATGATGATGATGATGATGATGATGAACATGATGCTGCTGATGACGGTGATGATGCTGATGCTGATGCTGATGCTGTTGATGATGCTGCTGTCAATGCTGCTGCTGCTGATGCTGATAATGATGATGATGATGATGATGATGATGATGATGATGATGATGATGATGCTGATGATGATGATGATGATGATGATGATGATGACGATGCTGATGATGATGATGATAATGATGATGGTGGCGGTGATGGCTATGGTGATGATGCTGATGGCGATGATGCGGATGAAGCTGACGATGAGTATGATGATGCTGATGAGTATGATGCTGCTGATGCTGGTGCTGATGATGCTGATGCTGATGCTGATGATGATGCTGATGATTATGATGCTGATGATTATGATGATGATGATGACGATGATAGCGACGATGATGATGGTGCTGCTGATGGTGACGAGGTCGATGATTATGATGGTGATGACGATGCTGATGCTGATGCTGATGCTGATGATGATGATCATGTTGATGGCGATTATGATGATGCTTATGGTGGTGATGGTGATGCTGATGATGATGATGATGATGATGATGTTGATGATGGTGATGCTGATGATGCTGACGCTGATGATGATTATGATGCTGCTGATGGTGATGATGCTGATGCTGCTGCTGCTGATGATGATGATGATGATGATGATGATGATAATGATGATGATGATGATGCTGATGTTGATGATGATGATGATGTCCACGGGGGACGGGAGGGGACATAACGATCAAATGTAAGGACGAGGACGGGAAGCATGGACCAGCATCGATGAGGGGGAATGCGGCCCGACACGAGCTTGCCGTATCCGATCCTCGCCCCCATCCCTGCTCACATTCTGCTGCTGGTGGGGGGGGGCGGAGGATGGGCAGGACGGGCGCGTGGACGAGACCGCCGACCTCTTCGTTGGGGACCAGGAGACCCGCCCGTCTTCGCCTGCACGAAGAGTAGGGGGGGAACAAGAAAACGAGGAGCAGCAGAAGGAGGAGGGGGAGGATGAGGAGGCGAGCATCTTCCTTCTCTTCCCCCTTCCAAGGACGCAAGCCGCGCACCAAACATTGGTCTTTTAACTTCTCTCGGAGCTGTAAGGGGCAGCGTCCAAAAAAGAGAAGACCTCACCATGGAGGTGGGGCCGTGGGTGTTGCTATAATCATTCATCTTCGGGTTCATGTCAAACATCCTCCCTCCTGCTCCTGCCTCCTCCTCCCTCCTCCCTCCGCCTTCTCCTCCTCCCCCCTCTCCTCCCTCCTCCTCCCACCTTCTCCTCCCTCCTCTCTCTCCTCCCTCCTCCGTCCTGCCTTTGCTTCCTCCTCTCACTTTTCCTCCTTGCTCCCTCCTCCCTCCTCCACCCTCCCTCCACAATTGTTCAATACGAGAGCTATTTCCCTCTCCGCCCGAATACCCCTATGAGATAGCGCCCCCCCTCCGCATATTGTTTTTACAATCAGATGCCTACGAGTCAGATTTTTGTATGTGTCTTTTCCAGTCCGAACGTTTTCGGTTCCTCAAAATCTTGCTCCCGCTGCACCGCTGGCCTCATTTTGGGGCTCCCGCTGCAGCGCTGGCCTCATGTCCGCGCTCCCGCTCATCCTGACTCGTGCTCCCGCTGCCGCGCTGGCCTCATTTCCGCGCTTTCGCTCGTTCTGCCCGTTCCGCCCTGCTGGGCATCCGACTGTGCCAATAAATCGGAGGTCCACGCCATGTCAGTAGATGTGAGGGAGGGGCAGGACGTCAGATGAGTCGCTTTCGCACCCGGCCTGTCCTCCCCCCTCTCCTCCCTCCTCCCTCCTCCCTCCTCCTCCCTCCTGCCTCCTCCTCCCCCCTCCCTGCCTCCCCTCCCCCCCCGTAGGCAGGCTGGCCAGCGCCGCGCCTGCCGCAGCGGCCTGCCCCATGGCGCGTGCACCGATCTGTCTTTGGCGCGGGCAGCCCCCGGGAGTTCAAAAACTCGGCGGCGAGCCGCGGGGGAAAGCGAGAAGGAGGCCCCCATTTGCGCACGAATGATTCTCTTTGGTGAACTCAGGAACTGGATTCCACCACCAGGATATGTTCACATCCACTGCCGCGGGGTCTTGGCCGAGGGGGGGAAGCGAGAAGGTTGCCCCCCCCCTTTGTGCACGAATTATTCTTCGGTCGCAAATCACGAGAGCCTGGTTCAACTTCTCAATGCCGTCTTTGGCGTCGATGAGCGTCGATCAGCGTCTGGGAGTGAGTGAGGTAGCGCCGATTCAGCGTCGGCTAGCGTTGATTTAGCGTCGATTAGCGTCGACTTAGCGTCGAGCAGCGATGATTCGCAAGAGCCGACAAGATGGTATGGGAGGCTCCCATGAGTTGCCACCGACGAATTGATTGGTGGCCTCAGGAACTGGACGCTTCTTTCATACCCTCTGTTGAGTCTCCGCTGGCGAAAGAGGTGGACGACGAGGACCAATGCCAGAGTAAACCAGCACGCACCGCGCAGGCTGCCAAGCGCCCCCCCATCCCAAGTCCCCTCCTGATAAGTAAGCCAACACGTGTATATCGGCGGCGAGAAAGGGGGGGAAGCGTGAAGGAGAAGTCCCTCTCAGAAGGCGGCCCGGCTTCTCAGAAGCCCTCGAGCCTTCCGAGAAGTTTTCTGTGTCTGATCCGGCACCAGCCCTAGCAAGTGTGCACAATCTTTCTTCGTCCGGCCTAATTCCGGCCTTCGTCCTGGCCTCTTCTGGCCTAGCGGCCCTTGAATCGGGTTCGATCGCTCCTAATCGTTCTTGCGACGACCTCTCCGAGGAGGTTTTTCCTGCGATCCATGGCCACCGCCCCCGCGCGAACAACCTCGTGCCGGGGACCCGCTGGTTTCGAGGGGGTGCTGCATAGACATCTGTCGCCCGCCTCGGAACGACGAGCTCAGTGCGCTGGTGTCGCCGTCGTATAGCGGGCGAAGAACGGTATTCGCTGTCGGGGGCGCCTGTCCCAGGGCGGCTGGAAAGCTCATACCCTTACGGTGGCACGTCGAGGTATGAGTTCTCCAGCCGCCCTGGGACGGGCGCCCCCGCTGACGGAACAGTTGATGTCATGCCGCTCCTCGCCGGCTCATCCGTTCCAGACTCGAGTGCGGCGGGCGAGCGCCCTCGGTGCCACGGCAGGCTCGGAGTCCAGTCGGCGGGCGGCCGCCCCGGGCGCCGAGGAGGCAGGAGGCCTATAGCCCTCCCAGCCCGGCCCCGTGCCGCGGCGAGAGCGACGGGGCCGCAGGCCCGCCTCTGTGCGGCAGGTCCGCGTCGTGTCGGCCGGCGGCGACCCCGCCGCCGGCGTTCCACGTGACACGCCGCGGGTGACCCAGAATCGTTCGATTCGGACCGGGCGAAAGGGGGGGATTGGGAAAGGGGGGGTTACGAAATTTGCTGCATGCAGCTGGTTTCGGCCTCACCGAGGGGCCCATTCCTCGATACATAGCCGCCTCCAGCGCCGGGAGGCGCCGGGAAAATAATATACGTTAGCTGATTCTCAAACCCCCCCTTTGCTATCCCCCCCTTTCGCCCGACCCGATCGATGTGGAACGATTTGGACGTTTCGGGAACGGCCGCCCGTTCCATGTGGAAGGGTCCCCGCGGTGTCATGAACTAACGCCGAAGCCGGCACGGCACGAACCCGACGCACTGCCAGGGCGTAGCTTCGGCGCCTCCTGGCTCCGCCTCGCCCGAGGAGAGGCGCCCGAGCGAGGCCGCAGGGCGGTGCGGTCCTTGGCCGAGGGAGCGGCCAGAGCTGCGCGGGAGAGCCGGGGCCCGTGAGCTTCTGTTCCTCGGCGGGGATGCGGCGATCCGCCAGGCATGCCAGGGCCACCGGTGGGCGCGTGGATCCGCGGCGGGGGTGGCGACCCACCGACAGCGCAGGGGCCGCCGGCGCGAACGCGTGGATGCATGCAAGTCTTCGGACGCGGAGAGAGATCATGCCCCCACCGTAGCCCGATGAAGAAAAACGGCACGAGCATAAATTTTTGGCGCTCCGCGCGGATTTCTTGGTTCCGCGCTGCCCCCCCCCCCGCGGCGGCGCCTCCGGCGCCGCCCCTGGCGCGCTCCGCGCGCCAGGGAGGGGGGGCCCAGCGCACATCCCAGCAATCCGCGCGGAGTGCCAAAAGTTTAAGTTTGTGCCGTTCTTTTCTCCTTCCAGTAGCACCCGCCCGAGGTCTCGCCGCATCGCCGATGCATCGCCGATGCATCGTCCCGATGCATCGGCGACGCATCGGCGACGCACCGGCGTGGCTGCCCGCCTCGGCCATCGCCGAAACGCGGTGGCCGCTCGGCGCGCCCGGGCGGGGCACGAATCTGAGTAAGAGCCCCTGCAGCGCGGCCCAAGTTCGGACATCCAAGGGTAGCCTGGCGAGTTTGTGGGAGGTTGCCATCCCAAATCAGGGGCTAATATGTAGAAGAAGGCTGCAAGGAGCCAGCAAGCGCCGGTTGCTCTGAGCTGTGGCGGGTGTTCCTGGCTGAACACGATCCTGAGCAAGATTCACCTCCCACCCACCCTTTTCTCCCTCACTCCCTCCCTTCTGCGACGGCGGCGGCGACGACGAAGAAGAGGATACCCCCGCCAGGAATATGACGACCTCGGCTTCGTCAGGCCGCCCCCGGGCGACGCCGTGGGCGACAGGGACCGCGAGTGCCTCTCCGACCCTCCCTGGTCGTCGTTGCCAGCGGCCTCGTCGTCGTCGTCGTCGTCGTCGTCGTCGTCGGTGTCGCCGGTGTCGTCGTCGATCGGCCTCGTCGTCGTCGTCGGCGGCGGCGTTATCGCCGCCGTCGTCGACGGCATTGGTCTCAGCGTCGTCGTCGGCTTCGTCGTCGGGGTCGTCTGCTGAGGAGGAGGAGGAGGAGGAGGCGGATGGGTGGAGAGTGGCCGAGGACGTGGGAGGAGGAGGTGGAAGAGGCGAAGAGGAGGGATGGGGAGGCGGCGTGAGGGCCGGTGAAGTGTTTTTTCTCCTTCTCGTTTTTCTCCTGGAGTAGGACGACGACGAGGAGTATGAATGGCGGTGATATGACGGTTATGATGATCATTATAATGATGGTGATGGTGATGTTGCTGATGATGTTGACGATGCTGGTTGTTGTGTTGATGTTGGCCATGGGGATGAGGACGTGGTGAGAGGAGGGTCAGACGGCATAGAAGAGAAGGCACCATGGGGTGGAGGCATGTGGACGTTATCAGTGTGTGCATGTTGTGCCTCAGGGGGGGGCCTTGTTCGCCGCAGCCAGATCCGCCATGAAGTCCCGGTCGGAACGCGATTCAAGATTGCCTTTCAGGTTCGAGGGGGAGAAGAGGAGAAGGAGGAGGAGTAGGAGGAGGAAGGGGAGGAGGAGGAAGATGAGGATGAGGAGGTATGGTATGATATTGTATTATTTCAGGTCCCACCTCCGAATTACAGTCTGCACCACCACTAGTCGCCGACCTGGACTGCTCTCCTTTTCGCACGTCTCAGTGACCTTCTGTTTTTTCGCATACGGCGATCGCTGTTGCGCTCTGCTTCTCATCACTTGTGTCGAGTTGGACGCTGCAGCCGTTTCGTTTAGAGTCTGACCGACGTGAGCCGATGACGAACAGGCGGAAGGGGGGGAGGACGGGGGCGGTAGGGGGAGGGAGGGAGGGAGGGACGGAGGCAGGTAGGATGAGGACGAGGAGGAATAGGAGGACCAGTGTAAACCCAAGAGCATCGACGATGTTGCAATACACTCTCCCTCCAAGTTCCCTCTTCATATGTTCCTGCACGAATTCGTTGTCACTGCGGGAAGTGTCCCGTTGAAAAACAAGCGTCTGAGAATCCCCAATCGTGCCAATACACCGTTGCTGGGACTCCAACGCCGCGAATCAACGTTAATGTTGCGTCCTGACGATCCTGAATCGAGCCCGAATGTCATTCCAGGGAATTCAACATTGCGGGCCAACATGATTGTTGCGCCCCTACAATCCTAGATCGTGCCATAACCCTTTTCCTTGGACTTCCACCATCAGACAATTTGATATTCGTGTGACTTTAGAGATGAGTGTGGGCGGCGCCAATGCGATCTCCACTAGACGAGTGCGCAGAGTTACAGCGAAAGCCACATTTTGAACACGACCCGCCTCATCCGTGAAGCTGTTGCTAACTTTTCAAACGAATGCACGCGGCGCTAAGGCGAGAGCCTCATTATGAACATTGCCCGCCCTCCATCCGTAATTATCACTTTGAGACGCACATGCGGATCGCCAAGGCGAGAGCCACATTTTGAAAACGGCCCGACACCAATCCGTGAAGATGTTACACATTCCAAGCTTCAGGATCATGAGCGGTGAGGAAGTCTCAGGCGAAACGCCCCGGCCGAGGTGTGACTGGGAGGAGTTACTTTCTAAAGAAAATAGATGGGGGAGGGGGTAGGAGGAGGCGGAGGAGGACGAGGAGGAGGAGGAGGAAGAGGAGGAGGAGAAGACGAGGAGGACGGAGGGCGAATGAGGACGGAGGACGAGGGAGGAGGGAGGAGGAAGATAAGGGCGCGGAAAAGGGATGAGGAGAAAAAGGAGGAGGACGAAGAGGAGGAGGAGGAGGAGGAGGGGTAGGAGGAGGAGGGAGTAGGGGAGGAGGGAGGACGGAGGAGGGAGGAGGGAGTAGAGTTTTGGAGGAGAGTTGGGGTCGGTGGATGAGGACCAGAGGAGCAGGAGGATTAGGAGAGGAGGAGATGGGAACAAGAGGAGGAGGAGGAGGAATGAGGAGAGGAGGAGGGAGGGTAGGAGGAGGAGGAGTAAGGGAGGAGGGAGGATGGAGGAGGGGGGGGGGCGGCGGGCGGAGGGAGAGGGTGTCGAGGGTAGGAGGTGCGGAGGAGGAGAGTTTACAGGAGGAGGAGAGGAGGAGGAGGAGGAGTAGAGGAGCAGGAGGAGGAGGAGGAGGAGGAGGAGGCGGCGCTGGCCCCTCGTGTCGCCTTCGTGACCTCCCATCTCCGCCGCCCCGCAGCCCCGCAGGTACGCCGCGTGGTTCCAGGCGAAGGCCGAGCGCCGCCGCCAGCGCTTCGAGCACGCCCGGAGGCCCGCGGCCGGCCGGCGCCGGTCGTCGTCGTCCTCGCCGTCCTCCGCCCTCCCTCAAGCAGTGGCGAAGCGTCCTGGCACGCCCAGAGGCCCACCGAAGAGTGTTCTAAGAACCTTCTTCGGCTGCAACCAAAGGGGGGGACAGGCATAGGGCATAGGGGGGCTGCATCGGCCCCCATTGATCGCCGATGGGGGCCCGATTGCCCCACCCCGGGCAGGAAGGTGCGGATTCACGATCGGGCGCCTGTCGCCCATCTGTCGGCGATGTATCGGCGATTCCAGGTCGATGCATCCCCCCTATGCCTATTCCCCCCTATCGTTGCGCTTCACTTTTATGGTCTGCACAAACTGTTTTCATAACATTTCTGGCAGGGGCTGTCGTTGTTTAGCACATCGGGCTTCTGCTCTAAGAGTATTGTTTCTTGTTGCTGGAACATTTTGGGATTCTAGGAGCATGTCGTGATAGGCCTATAGGAATGCTGGCACGGTCGGTCCCTGCTCAATCCTTCGGACGGGGCCAGTCGACTACACGTACGAGTGACCCTTCGCTAGAGTGACCTTTGGTGCGGGCCCTCCGGGTCCCCTCGATCGTTGATCGCGATGCAATAGCAGCGGCCTGCGCGCTTGAGTCTGGCCCCCCCTCGGCCCCCCAAGAAGCTGCGTACCAAAGGTCACTCTTGCCCAGGGTCATTCTTACGTGCAGCCAGCCGAGCCAGGACGAGGATAAATCCGTTCCAGAGCCGCCGGATCTCAGAGAGTCGATCTGTCCTCACCCTCCTGGCTTCGTCTTACTCCTCGCCGCCGCCGCCACCGCCGCTGCTACTGCTGCTGCTGCACGTGCGGGCGGTGAGGTGAATCGGGGCGCCGCGACGCGGCACGCGGCAGGCTGGGCGCCCCTTTCCCTGTCCACTCGGCCCGGTGCCCTGGTGTCGGTGGCCGAGGCCCTGTGGCACCTGGTCGGCATGGGGGGAGCGGGTCCTGAGGCTTTTTTCGCAATATTTTTCGGGCTCTCGGGGCCCTCCAGGGGCCCCGGGAGTACCAGGAAAGAACTCAGGATGGAGATCTCGTCCTGGGGTTCAGTCGGGCGTGTCCCTCTGCAGGAGGAATATTCGAAAATAGTAACTATGCCATTATTTGGAGTATTTCTTTGAGTCTTTTTCTTTTTGTGACTATTTTTCATTTTCCGTGTAAAATCCGCCTGTAGGGGACATGCCTGACCTAAGAGTACCAGGACAGGATTCAGGATGAAGATCTCGTCCTGGGGGAAGGCCCCGGGGCCCTCAGGGCCTGTTTCCCTCAGGACCCGTTTCCCCCATGCTAAAAAGTGGACCTCCCGCTCCCGCTTCGGCGGTTGTGGGGGGAACGCTGCCGTTGCTACTGCTCCTCCTCTTCGTGCGCTCCTCTTCCCTCTCCAGACCTCAGGGAGATCGTTGTGTGTCTTTATCCTCTGGCGCATCACGGTGGTTCCCCAGGCCAAAGCCCTGCTCCCCTAGGGTAACGGTTCCGATTGTACGTATTGGTGGGGGGGCTGGACCCCCCAGCCAAGTAACGGTAACGGACACGTAACAGTTGTACCTATGGGGGCGCTGTTGTTGTTCCCCCCTCTCCAGACCTCAGGGGCATCGAAGGAGGTTGCCAAGCGAACGGCACGTGTGCACCGTACCGCGCTGGCGCCTCTCGAGGAGTTGTCGGTCCTCGACCCAGGAATGGCGGCGCACAGTCTTTCGGCCCTCGGGGCCAAACCAAAACTACATCGCCATGACGAAAGTTTCTTTCAATTTGCCTTTTGGAATGACGCGCTCGTGCGGAGTAGTTCGGAGTAGTTTTACTAAAACTATTCCGCGCGCAATCGCATCCCGCTCGGTAATTTGTATGGTTTGGCGCTGAGTAGTTTCCGATCCCGTTTTGGAGTAACAGAGTTATTAACGTCTCTGGGATCGGAAACTGCTTCGCCGAATGACCCCAGCATCATGTCATGTTAGGAATCTTGAGAGGGATGGGAGAGATCTTCATCATAGCAAATTGAAGAAGCTTTTGTCACGGCTGTGTATGCATCGTACAGCGCTGGAGAGGGGCCCTGAAGGGAGTCCAGACATGGTCAGGTGCATGGGAGCCGTTCTCGTAAATGGTGAGTTCACTCGGGCGGTTGAAGTCGCTAGTTGGCCTCAGTTCTACTCGCTATTCGTTGTCATGTCATCATACTGTCAGCGACAGTCGTGACACGCATGAGTGGATGCAGGAATCGTCAGCAGCGTCATCGAGGCACAGCTGGCACGAGGGTTGAGAACAAGAGTACGTCACGCTGTCGCAACACATCGCTTACCCTCACAATTTGAGTCGAAGATCCCCTAACCAGCTTTGTTGCATTCGTTGCGTGACATCCGACACCGGACCAAACCTCTGGATCGGTCTTGGAGGCCGCCGCGGCGATCGCTGCGGCCGCAAATTGGGGCAAGGTTTTTGGCAAGGAGTGGCATGACCCCTCCCAGCCCTGCCCGGCTCTGCGATGTAGACGGGGCTCATGGCTTCTTATCTAGCGACAGAGAATTGTCAATGTATGCTCATCATGGTCGGTCATGTTTTTTCGGCTAGGGGTCGGTTATCACCCAAACATGTATATCAAAACTTTGTTCGGGGCAGACAACGCGGTTCCGATGGGTACGAATGGTTTCTTGAGATTGTTTTTTTATCCTCTGGGGGGTAACGCTCGTTACCCGGGCCTCCCCCCCCCCCCCCCCCCCCTCTGTAACGGTAACGCTCGTACGCGGGGGGGGTCTCGGTCTTCCCCTCCAACATGCTGGTGCCCGAAGGCATGCGCACTGTGGTGTGGTGGTCGCAGGCGCACTGTGGGCGCTCGCAGGCCATTGCGGCGCTCGCATGCGCGATGCTGGTGTTTGCGGGCTTTGCGCTTGTACTCGAATCGTCGTCGTCGTCGTCGTCGTCGTCGTCGTCGTCGTCGTCGTCGTCGTCGTCGACGGCGCCCGAAAACGGCCTCCGGAGGCCGAAACAGGCGGCAAACGTCGTCGTCGTCGTCGTCGACCTCGACGCTCGTCGCTCGTCGATCATCGTCGTCGCGCGCGCGGGCGCGGGCGTGGTGCCGGGACCACGCGGCGGGCTTTGCGCTTGTACTCGAATCGCAAGCCACTGTGGTGCTCTCAGGCAGAGAGTGCTGCTCGCGCGCATACTATGGCGATCGCTGAGCGCCCCTGCTTCGCCATACCCCGCCCAGCCCAAGCGTTACCGTTACCCGGGGGGCACGACCCCCCCCCCCCCCCCGGGTAACGAGCGTTACCGGCCGGAATAAAAAAATGATCTCCTATGAGTTCTCGTTTTGAATCCGCAGCGCCGCTCGTCTCCTCCTCACCTTCTCCTCCCTGCCCCTGCCTCTGCTCCACCTCCTCCTCCTCCTCCTCCTCCTCCTTCTCCTCCTCCTCCTCCTCCTCCTCTCTCTTCTCTCCTCTCTCCTCTCTCCTCTCTCTGCTCTGCCTTTCGCATGTCCGTTCCGGCACACCCTCACACGCTTCGTGCCCCCATCGGGAGCTCATCCGACGTTCCAGTGGCAGTGTTCGCATGGTTACACGTCCAATTTCGTGGCCCCCGAGGAACCTCTACCGAAGGCCCCAGTGGCACGGTTCCCATGGTTACCAGCGCCTTCTGGGGCACTCTTGGGAGCCTTGGAGGCCATCTTGGAGGAGCTCGATCAAAGGAGGGGGGTCCCACATTAGAGTCCCCCCCAGGATGCCCAAATGGGCCCAACACCCACGGATAAATATTGATTTTCGCCTTCTCGTCGAGGCCGTCTTGGACGCTCTCATGGGTTTCGGGGCGGGCCCAGTCCAGGTCTAGGGGGAGCGGGTAGGAGGAGGTGTAAGCCCCTCCCCGAATGGGAAGAAGGGGGGCTGAAATCAGGCGATCGCAAACATGGATTAAGGGGGCGTGGATTAGCTACGGGTCCGTTTCCTTGGGAAAGCGCGGATTTCCGCCGCCGAGCGAGGCGGCGTCGGCCGCATCTGGGGGGGGGGGGGGGGCAATTCCCCCGAAACGATCCATGGATTTGGCGACCGCGCGCCAAATCCATGGATCGCTAATCCATGTTTGCGCGCCCCCGAAAGAGGAAACGAGCCAAGCCACTCACGCCCTGTGGGGTTGGTGAGATTCGGGCCCTGGGTGGGCCAGATTTGTCCATGTCCGCCGACCGCCGAGGCCCTCGAAGATCGCTCCGCCAGGGGGTGGGTACTGATGGGTCCCCGCCTCGGATCCTTGGCTCCCTGGTACGAGGAGGAGGAGGAGGACGACGAAGAGGAGGAGGAGGAGGAGGATGAAGACGAAGAGGAGGAGGGGGAGGAGGAGGAGGAGGAGGAGGAGGAGGAGGAGGAGGAGGAGGAGGAGGAGGAGAACCCAGACATCCGACGTCTCGATTCTTCCAGTGCGGGGTCCCCAGAAGTCTCGATTCTTTCTCCAGGACCGCTCTTTTGGTCCCGAGTCGTTTTTTGACAGCCCCAGGGCCCAGCGAGGGCCCCTGGAGGCCGAAAACGGCCAGACACAGTCCGTCGTGATCCGTGCTCGACCCGAACAAATCACGCCAGCAGTCCTGTAGACCCCATGTTTCTCATTGGTTTTTATGCCGATCCAGATCGATCCGTGAGGCACAGCTTGGGCTCGAGGCCTGGCCGCAGCGCCTGGCGCGACGAAGATTGCCACGCCGGGAGTTTGGGGAGAGTTGTGGAGAAGAAGGAGGATGAGGAGGAACACTGATATTTTCACCACTCACCAAACCACCCCAACCCAACCCGAAGGCTTCAACTTGCCCTCCATTTCCAGGGGGGGGGTCGGGGAACATTGTAAAAACACATGGAACCCGTACCCCCCCCCAACCCGAAATTCGGGTGCCAAATTCGGGTCTTCGGGTTGGGTTGGGGTGGTCTGGTAGGTAGTCATATTTACAATCGGGGATGGACAGACCTCCTGCCCTGACACGTCGATTCAGGACTTGGCCGTTCCCGGTTCGCGGGAGGGCGTCGCGGCCGTCATTTTTGCGGGTCCAGGTCCGTCGGTGTCTGTCCCAGGCCGTTTTCACGAAGGGGAGGTTTACTAAAGGGAGGGTTGTCCACCGCCGAAAGGAGGAGGATGAGGAGGACCACTGATACGGTAGAGGGAAACAATTACTGAACACTCCCCCTCCCCCCCAAACTCAACTTTGGCACGCGCGCGGGAGACTGCGGTCGAAGTGCATCTCATCAGACCCACCGCCAACTTTGAACTTTGAGGAGGACCACTGATATGTCCCCCGTTCGGTTCGGCCGATAGCGAGCAGCTTGTGTCGGCCCTCGTTGCGCCGCCCGCGTCGTATTGAAGTGCCCTGGTGGGCAAACACACACTTGGCTCTGGCACACGGTTTTGAGGATCACCGAGAGGAGGAGCAGGAGGAGGAGGAGGAGGATGAGGAAAAGGAAAAGGAGGATGAGGAAACGGAGGACGAGGAGGAGAAGGAATACGTACGAGGAGGCCCAGAGTAAACCCAAGACTTGTCAATGATGTTGGGATACACCCTCCCTTCAAGCTCTCTCTTTTCATAGGCCCCGTTGGCGGACAATCGTGTGAAAATCCTGAAGCGTGCCGAATCACCATTCCCAGGATTTCAACACAACGAGTCAACCTGACTGTTGCGTTTTGACGATCCGGAAACGTACCAGAAGAGCATTCCTGAGATTTCAACACCGCGAATCAACGTAAGTGTCGCGCCCTGACAGCTCCTGAATCGTTTCAACATATTTTTACTGATACCTTAACCATAAGAACCAGTGACGCCCCTGCAAAGTTGCAAACGAATGTGCGCGGCGCTCAGGCGAGAGCCACATTTTGAAAAGGAACTGCCCTCATTCCACTAAACGTTTTGTTTTGTGAGACAAAACACATAGCATTAGCTTGGCGAAGGACGCAACCATATGCAGCTGTAAACACCGCAGTCGTGAGTATCCCCTTCGGTGGAGCTCCTTATGGGGGCACGAAACGTGTGAGGGATGTGCCGAAATGGGTGTGGCGGGCGCATGTGGAAGGTGCCACTGGGCCTTCGATGGGGCTCCCTATGGGGGAACGAAGCGCGTGAGGGGTGTGCCGAAATAGGTGTAACGGACGCATGTGGACGGTGCCACTGGGGCCTTGGGGGGAGCCCTTTGCGGGGCCACGAAGCTTGTGAGGGGTGTGCCGAAATAGGTGTGGCGGACGCATGCGAACGGTGGCACAGGAGCCTTCTGTGGAGCTCCCTATGGAGCCACGAAGCGTGTGAGGGGTGTGCCGAAAATGGTGTGGCGGGCGCATGTGGACGGTAACACTGGGGCCTTCGTTGGAGCGATGTGCCGACATGGGTGGACTTGCGGTGAGGAGAGGCACGGACGGGAGAAGGAGGAGGAGGAGGAGGAGGAGGAGGAAGAGGAGGAGGAGAGTAACGCGGGGCATCGTCTCTTCAGAACGAGGACCCAAAACCACAGGATGGTCGGGGAAAAAACGCGGCGCTTAGGCGAGAACCACATTTTGAAAAGGAGTCGCCCTCATGCAATCTGTCAAAACAAATGGGCGCTCTGCTACGACGAGAGCCACAGTTTGAAAACGGCCCGCCCTCAATCCAGCCGACTCTTGCAACGTTTTAGAACGAATTGGCGTTGCGCTGAGGCGAGAGCCACAGTTTGAAACGGAGCCGCCTCCCAAAACGTGAAATTATTGCAACTGTTTAGTACGAGTGCTCGCTGCGCTAAGGCAATAACCACATTCTGAGAACCACCCGCTCCCAACCCGTGAACGAATGTCCGCGGCGCTAAGGCGAGAACCACATTTTGAAAAGGAAACGCCCTCAATCCGTGCAGTTCTTGCAAAGTTTTGTAACGAATGTGCGCGGCGCTAAAGCGAGAGCCGCATTCAGGAAGCGACCCGCCCTCCCTCTTGAAACTGTTGCCAGTTTTTCAGTTTGAGGCCCATGCATGGTAAGGAGGTCGCGAGCGAAACGCCCAGCCCGCCCTTCCGACTAGCCTCGGGGTGCGGCCTGAAGGAGCTATCCATAAGGAAAAAGAATGGGGGAGGAGGAGCAGGGGGAGGAAGAGGAGGGGGAGGGGGAGGAGGAGGAGGAGGAGGAGGAGGAGGAGGAGGAGGAGGAGGAGGAGGAGGAGGAGGAGGAGCAGGGGGAGGAGGAGCTGGAGGAGACCAAGTCCCTGCCTCGCGCACCGCTCACGCGACCCGCACCATCGCCCCGCTCCTCGGCGCCCGGTCGTTCTCGGGCCATGCCCAGGGCCCCGGGTGGCCGTGCACCCCCCCCCCGAGAGCCCATGTCGTGGTAGTGGGTGTTCGTTGGGTTTTGTGGTGTTTGTGTTTTTTTTTTTTGTTTTTTTACTCTTTTTTTTTTTTTTTTTCTTTTCTTTTTTTCGTAGTTTTTTTTCTATTTTTGTTATTTTTTTTTTTTTTTTTGTTTTTTTTTTGTTTTTTTTTAATTTTTTTATTTGTATTTTTTTTTTTTTTTTTTTCGTTTTTTTTTTTATTTTTTTCGATGAGGCGCAGCTGCTCGAAGGCCCGCCGCCGCCGCCGCCGCCGACGCCGACGACGACGACGACGCCGCCGCCGCCGCCGACGACGACGACGACGACGACGACGACGGCGCCGGCGCCCTGGGCCCGCGCCGCCGAAAGGATGGCCACCGCCACGGCCACCGCCACGGTCACCACCACCACCGCCTCTCCGTCGGGCACGGCGGCGCGGTCCCGCCCCCGCCGCCCCCGCCGGGCCGGGCTCGCGCCTCGCGGCGGCGGGCAGCTCGCCGCGCCGACCGGGTGGCGCTCGGAGCGGTGCCACACAGAGAGCAAATCTCACCGAGCGCGCTCCACCACGCGCAAACTGCCTACTCGCAAGCGTCCGAAAAGGCGCGTGCCCGTCTCGATGCAGTGGATCGTCAATCCCCCGCGGCGTGTCCAGGCCATTTGTGAGTAGTTCCTTTTTGCGAGTAGTGGAACGCGCTTGTCTGAAATCACGGAAGCTTGTGCTCGTCTCTTGGCCACGCGCAGAGGGGGGGAAGGGGGGAGGGGGTGGTTTTCTTAGAAGCAGCTCTGTCTCTTAGAAGGCGGGGGCTCTAATCTATAGTATAAGGCTGGCGCCTTCTAAGAAGTAGCCTCCTTCCAAGAAGTCTTCCTCCTCCCCCTTCCCCCTAGCGCGCGCCGCGAAGTCTTGGATTCATCGGATCTTTTTGGGAACCTTTCTCGGGGCCACCCAACGGATCTGTTCGACTGAAGGCCGATTCGGGTTCGACACGAGTCGGCGCAGGCTCGACTCATGTTCGACTCCAGCTCGACTCGAGTCGACGGGCATCCTACGCAGCACCGACGCCATGAGTGGAGCGAGTGGTTCCAGGAAGGCATGCAGACTGAGCATCCACGATGGAATGCTTGTCGGCGACTGGCGCCCAACAGCTCGATAGGCCCAAGCAGTGCCCAGAGCGCCCAGTAGCGCCGAACAGGGTTGAACTGGCGCCCAACAGAGTGGGGGCCCATGCCAAGAAACACCCTGCTGGCCTCCAGGGTGCCCTGTGTTTCTTGGGGTTCGATGGCTTTGATGTGGAAGGTGCGACGTTCCCACGCCAAAAGTAGATGGACGTCCTGGGGTCTCAGGGTTGGGATTCTTGTGGAAGGTTTGTGGACTCGCCTCCTACTGTAGTGCCCAGCAGCGCCATGTGAAGGAGCGCTTTGCGCGCGACTGGGCGCGATATGGGGCGCCATGGGGACGACCAAGAGCTTCCGTTGGTCGCTTTCTGGGGGCCCGAGGACAACGGCGGCGCCCCCCGCGTCGCGTCGCGGAGAACCCTGCAGCTCGGTACGGTCGGATGCTTCCATACGTAGACGCTTCGCCTAACCCCACCAGCCCATCCAGACACGATACCCAGCCGAGTTGTCCTGACCAGAGAAGTGGAGGAGCATGCACTGGAATCAAAGGCTGGGGAAGCCGTCATACCCCAGGCGGGGGAGGATGGAAGGAGGAGGAGGATGATGAGGAGGAGGAGGAGAAATAGAAGGAGTAGGATGGATAGGAGCAGTGGGGGGATAGGAATAGGGGGAGGGGGGAGGAGGGGGAAATATGTGGATGCGGAAGAGGAGGAGGAGGAGGAGGAGGAGGAGGAGGAGGAGGAGGAGGAGGAGCAGGAGGCGGGGAGGCGGAGGCGGAGGAGGGAGGGAGTATGGGTGGAGGAGGAGGAGGTAGGAGGGGAGGAGGGGAGGGAGGCGGAGGAAGGAGGAAAGGGGGAGGAGGGCTGGAGGAGGAGGGAGGAGGGAGGAGGGAGGTGGTGGAGGAGGAGGAGGAGGAGGAGGAGGAGGAGGAGGAGGAGGAGGAGGAGGAGCAGAACGGCCAGAGGCCTCTTGGATGCCTCCTGGAGTCTCTCCGGATGTCTCTTGAGAGCTTGTTTGAGGCATCTTGGGGCGTCTGGGGCCTATCGGCGGTCCCGGAGGAGCCTCTTTGGGGCCTCTTTAGGGTCTCTTGGGATCCTCTTGGGGACCTTGGGGCAGTCTTTGGGCCTTCTGGGTGCCTCTCGTGGCACTCAGGGGCCTTTGAGGCCATCTTTGGGCCATCCTGGGGGAGTTCGATCAAAAGAGGGGGGAGCACTTAATTTGCGTCCCTCCCCCCCCCAGGAGGCCAACATTGGCCCCACACCAAAGAAATTAATGATTTCTGCCTTCTTGCCGACACCTTTTTCGACGCTCCAATCGGTCGCGGGACGCCCCGTCCAGGTTCAGGGGAGGGGGTAGAGGGAGGGGTCAAGCTACCCACCCGCCCGCAAGCCGTATTGCTCACTCCCACCCGCCCTCCCGACACCTATGTTGTAACACACGAGCCTCAGCACGTTCAGCGGTCGTCTTTGGATGGGCAGCTACTGGGAACCAAGACCGAGCCCATGTCCGCGACGCGGGGGCGATCTGCGCCACGCGTGCCAAGCGCGCCACGCGCGCCAGGCACCCCTGGGGCCCGAGCGTGCCAGACACGCTGGTGCATCAGATGCGCCACGTGCCTCCGCGTGCGCCAGGCGTGCCGCAAACTCCGACTCCAAACGCGCCAGGTGCGCCACGTTCGGGGCACGTGCAGAGTGTGTCAGGAGCGCTTGCGTACGTGACAGCATACATCGGGAAACATGTCGGCCCCCACCATCCACATCGAAAGCCAATGCCAATGCCCATCATTGTGTCTGGTGGGCCTGCGCACAGCAGGCCATACGCCACCACTTGACAGTGATCGCGGGGCGGCCGCGCATGATCCAGATTTAGCCGCGAGGTGCATGTTGTATAGTTTTTTTGTCAGGGAAGGTAGCCTTGCGCACAGCAGGCAATGTGCTGACACCCCCGCCGTTCCTTTTGAACAAAGCAATGAAACGTGCTCGCGGGCCTCATGAACATGTTTCCAGACTTGCCTCAACATGTACTGGACTCATACGCTCCATCATTACTATGACCAGTGGCGACATTCAGCATGAGATCGCACTTCAGGTAGACCTGATTGATCAGATAAGCACACCAACCAGTCTCAAAACAAGCGTATCACTTCCGTAGCCATTCTGGCTCAAGCGCCTGCCGTCCAGGATCTGACGAGTTGTCGGCCGCCGTTCCCGCAGGCTACTGAGCCGCTCACGATGCCGCCGTCACCGCTGCTCCAGCGCCTGAGCACGGCCGACTTGCAGAAGGTACGGGACGCCGCGCGTGTACTCGAGACGTTCGGCCTGACCGGCATCGACAGCGTGCCGCAGCTGGTCGCCGACCTTGATGCAGCGGTCCACGCGCGTGCCGAGGCGGAGAACGCCAAATGCAAGGCATGGATGGACCACGTGACGGTGCCGGAGGCGTATCGCGAGAGAGGTTCCATCATCAGTGACACAGCCAAGCGCGGCATCTCGGTGGCGCAGCTGCAGGAGCTCGGTGGAAGCAAAGTGGCCACCACTAAAGGGTCCATGTGCATAGTGCTAAATAGTGCAAAATAGTGCAAAATAGCGCAAATAGTGCAAAACTAGTGCAAAACTAGCGCAAACTAGTACAAAAATAGTGCAAAATCATGCAAAATTGTGCAAAATAATGCAAAAATAGTGCAACATAGTGCAAAATAATGCAAAAATAATGCAAACATAATGCAAAATAGTGCAACTTTAGTGCAACATAGTGCAAAATAACACAAAATAGTGCAAAATTCAAAATCGTGCAAAAATAGTGCAAAATTTTGGACCCTTTAGTGGTGGCCCTTTGGCCTCGCCCTAGGAGCTGGGCACGCTGGTGCAGGAGGTCTTGGAGAAGACTACGGTCGTGGACAGGAGCAACGCCAGGCAGGACTGGAAGCGCATCAACCTGTACATCATTTGCGCTTACTTCGTGATGCCGTTGACAAGCCGCTTCCGTTGCTCCTTCGTCGAGCTGCTTGCCGATGCGGAGCAAGTCCCAACGTGGTTCGTTAGCCACTACTGGGGCACACCGTTCTACCAGACCCTCCGCATGTTGTCCTTACACCGTCTTCATCGCAGGCTTGCTGGGTGCCTTTCCCACCCCCCCCCCATTTTTTTTTATGGTTTTTTTTTTTTTTTTTTTTTTTTCATGTTTTTTTTTTTAATTTTTATTTTTTCTATTGGTTGTGGCACGTTCGCGAACAAACCATCATCATCTCGATGACTCCACGGCGGCTGGTTGATTTCGCCTTTTTTTTTTTTTTTTTTTTTTTATTTTCCTTATTATTTTTATTTTTTTTTTGTTTTTATTTTTTTCGTTAGGGTTCTTCGAGCCGAGTCGTGCTGCGGTACTCGGGGGCCACTAAGTGCATACGGAGTAAAGAAGCCACGGGGTCAATTTGTTTCCACATGTTCATCGAGTTTATGCGGAAAATGCGGAAGCAAGTCGAACATGCGGACAGCCGTCCACATTTCCGTCGCGAAAGTGCGGACAGATGCGGACAGCCGAAAGCCGAAACATTCTCAGATTCTGTGTCCACATTCTCGGTTTTGAAAATGCGGAAACGCGTGGAAAATGCGGACGGCCGTCCACATTTTCGTTGGGTCGTCCACATTTGTTCACATTTTCATATGGAGAAATGTCTCCGTGGCTTCGTACACCGCGCCCACTTAGCGGCAGCTGAGGTACCGTCGCGCTGATGGACGAGAAGGCAACCCCCTTCCATCGCGTCTGGTGCGTCCTGGAATGCTACGAGAGCACCATGAGCGTGGAGACCGCTGGTAAGAAAGAGCACTTCTACGACATCGCAGCGTGGATCCCAGAGAACACCCAGTTCTGTATGGGACAGGCTCGCCCTGAGCAAGCAGCTCTGCAGCTGGATGTTGGGCAGCATGACTCCGGTGTTTGTGAGGTGGTAGAGAAGGAGGGGGCATTTCCTTGGCAAGTGGCAGACATCGGTGTCAAGACGAACGTCCGCGAGGCGGAAGCCTCCCGAGAAGTTGATAAGCGCGTCATCATGGCATACATCACAGGCAAAGAGGACCGCTTGAACGCCATCGTCCGGCAGCGGTTCGTCTCCGGGGCCATGTACTCGGCTGCGCTTGCCGGCAAACCTGACGCACTTCGCGATCTTCTCCGATCCCATCCGGACGCAGTGGACAAGGCCAACAACAAAGGCTTCACGCCCGTTTTCATCGCTGCGCAGAAGGGCCAGGTGGAGGCGCTCAAGGTCCTCGTCGAGGCAAAGGCCAACCTGGACAAGGCCAGGAACATCGACGCCACGCCCGTTTCCATCGCTGCGCACAAGGGCCACGTGGAGGCGCTCAAGGTCCTCGTCGAGGCAAAGGCCAACCTGGACAAGGCCATGAACGACGGCGCCACGCCCGTTTTCATGGCCGCGCTGCAGGGCCACGTGGAGGCGCTCAAGGTCCTCGTCGAGGCAAAGGCCAACCTGGACAAGGCCATGAACGACGGCGCCACGCCCGTTTTCATGGCTGCGCAGAAGGGCCAGGTGGAGACGCTCAAGGTCCTCGTCGAGGCAAAGGCCAACCTGGACAAGGCCAGGAACGACGGCGCCACGCCCGTTTTCATGGCTGCGCAGCAGGGCCAGGTGGAGGCGCTCAAGGTCCTCGTCGAGGCAAAGGCCAACCTGGACAAGGCCAGGAACGAGGGCGCCACGCCCGTTTTCATGGCCGCGAAGAACGGCCACGTGGAGGCGCTCAAGGTCCTCGTCGAGGCAAAGGCCAACCTGGACAAGGCCAACAATAACGGCGCCACGCCCGTTTTCATCGCCGAGCAGAAGGGCCAGGTGGAGACGCTCAAGGTCCTCGTCGAGGCAAAGGCCAACGTGGCATGAATGCTACATCCGATGGCATGTACAAGGGCATGAACTCTGAGCAGGTCACCGTGGCCCTCAAGGGCAGCGACTACCTCGCCGAGTGGGTTCGAGGAGCGAGGCTCGAGTCGGGCGTGTCCCCTGTACAGGAGGAGGATTCAACACTACTCCACGAATAGTCCAGGGGCGACTGTCCCCACTATTTTGGGCCATTCTTGGGCATGTTTTGACTGTGTTTACTTCTTCGTCCGAACTCGGCCTGGAGGGGGACATGCCGCCCGAACCGTGGCCAGGCCTCCCAGATGGGGTCCCGGCAGATGGGGTTTGGGGCCGTCTGGGGGTCTGAGGTGGCCCAGCACTGGCTCGGGAGGGAGAAGCGAGGTGCTACGTTCGGGCTGCTTGTTGCCTTGGGTCGCCTCTGGGCACAGTTTTCGGGCCCAGGGGCCGTCAAAAACGAATCCTGGGTGAACAACTGTGTCAGATGGACCCCGGAAGGGGTCCGGGGGCCGATGTTGAGCGGATGTGACATCATCCCCCTCCTGGCCGAATTTCCGGGGGTCCTGACCAGTTCAGACCCCCTGGCCGTCTCCAAGATGGAGACGGAAGATCGCGCTGCTGTGCGGATGCCTCGGCGATGCGGCTCGATGTGGGGCGCGATCGTCTCCGCGTAGACGTCGCCGCTGCATCGCTGACGTCGCTGATCGCATCGCCGATGCATTGGCGATGCGGCGCGATCCTCCGACCCAATCTACAGTCAAAGCGCATAGCAAGGATGAGCAATCTTCCAAGATTAAGCTCCTTCGGCTCATCTTTGGCAACTTTCGCTGGCCAACCACGTTCGAGAATCGTCAACATGGTCTGCTAAGGCCCTCGCAAGCTTACCGCGCATCCTTATTCTAGACGGTTCGCGTAACCCTACCAGCCCATCTGGAAACTATGCTCAGGCGAGTTGCACTGATCAGGCATGTTGGGGAGCATGCAGTGGAATACAGATTTTGGGAACTCGTCATGCCCCAGGAGGGGGAGGATGGATGGGGAACCAGAGGATGACCAGGAGGACGGGGAGGAGGGAGGATGGAGGAGGGAATGAGAGGGAGGATAATTATAAGGCGGATGAGGACGAGGAAGAGGACGAGGAGGAGGAGGAGGAGGAGGAGGGCGAGCAGACAGGCCAGAGGCCTCTTGGATGCCTCTCGGATTTTCGTCGGATGCCTCCTGAGAGCAGCTTGCAGGCCTCGTGGGATCCTCTTGGCGGTCCTGGGGGCCTCTCGAAGCGTCTTGGACGGCAGCCTCCTCGGGCCTCTTGGGGGGTTTCTTCGGAGTCTCTTAGGGGCCTCTTGGACGCATTTTAGGGGCCTCTCTGGGGCCTGTTGGGGCCTCCTGGGCGCCACTTGGGGCTCTCGGGGTCCATCTTAGAGAAATCTTGGAGGACAGCGGTCAAAGGCGGGCCGTACAGGAGGCTAAATGGTGCCAAACCTTTCGTACAATCAGTAAGTTTGGCATTCTCGCCGAGTATTCTTGTAGCGTCTTGGGAGCCTCGTGGGGTCATCTTGGGGGCCTCTTGGAGGCCTCTTGGGAGTCTCTTGGGAGCCTCTTGGGGGCATCTTGGGGGCCTCGTGGGGCCTCCCCGGCACCTCTTCGGGCCGTCTTGGGGCACCTTTGGGGGCATCGGAGGCTATCTTGGTGACATCTTGTAGGAGATCGGTCAAAGGATGGGGGCTCCTTAATTAGAATCCCTCCTCCAGGCGGCCAACATGTAGCCAAAACCTTAGTAACATAACTGACTTTGGCCTTCTCACCGAGGCCTCTTGAGGCGTCTTGGATGCCTCTGGGGGGCCTGGCCGGGCGTCTCGGGGGTCTCTTGGGAGCCTCTCGGGGGCATCTCGGGGGCCTCTCGGAAGCTGGGGCCGTCTTGGAGCGCCCTTGGGAGCCTTGGGGGACGTTTTTGGATCATTTTGGAGGAGATCGATCAAAGGAGGGAAGCTCCCTAATTAGAGCCCCCCTCCAAGGAGGCTAGCATGTGGCAGTCACCTAGGTCAAATCAATGACTTGGGTTCCTCGCGGAGACCATCTCGGACGCTTCAACCCCTCGCGGAAGTCCCCGTCCAGACCCAGGTTGAGGGGGGGGAGGGGGTAGGGGGGGATAAACCCCTCCCCGAAGGGAAGAAAAGCGGGTTGGCCGAGGAAACGCTCTAAACCATTCACGCCGCAGGGTTGGTGGGATTATGCGTTTTGATTGCATTCGGACCCCATCTGGGAGGCCTCTCGTAGAGGTCAGGCTCGCTCTTACGTCGTGGAAATATTAGGACGGGCAGTTTTTGGTGGTTGCTACTTCCGGGAACCCTTGCGGGACCTCGGGGCCGTCGGTTGCGAAATCCGAACCCTACCTTCGATTGGCGGCGGGGGTAGGGTTCGGAATTCGTTGAACACGAGGCGAAATCCGAGCTCTATCCCCGTCTCTCAGCTGGAAGTGGTATGCTTCGGATGTCGCAACCTGCAATCTCAGTGCATAGCCGCTCCAAAGTTCCACAGTTTGGCAGCTCCGAGCTCCTTGGCTACGTCGCAGCCTCATCCTGCTCGCTGCTCTTGGCCGCGTCTGGTTGTACCGCGCCTGCCTGTGCCCGGCCTCCTCCTCTGGGTATTTATCTCCCTGCTCTTTCCTTTCGTGCTGCTCCTGCGCCGATGCGTGTACAGTCGAGGCGCTGAACAAGGAACCCTTTTCGTTGGGCAGGGGCTCGGTGTTCCTTGATTGTTTCACAGCTTGCCTCAGGTTTTCCTTATGTTTTCGATGGGAAATCGAAGTTTAACTTGTGGAAAAAAAGGGGCCTCGTTCCTTATTTAGGGTTCCTTAGGTCAACGCCCCGACTGCATACCTGATCATTCACCGCTTTCCGCTTCTGGGGGAACCAAAAGGTACCGATGCCGCTACTCCCCAGGCCTCTCCTTGGGTGCGTTCTGACCAGAGAGTTCGAATTCAATCCAGCGGTGGCGACGAGAGCCACCCAGGAGGCCCCCACAGGGAAAACGAGCCCAGGGATATGATGCTCCAACCTACTTTAGCTTTGATCACAAGAAATAATTTCGAGCGCCAAAAAAATACCGAAACTCAAGGGTTTTCACGTGTCGGGTCCTGGGATACACTCGCCCGACATTGTTTCGACACTGTTTCGACACTCCTTTGACACTTTTCCGGGTGCTCGAAATTATTTCTGGGATGTGGTCCTGAAGTCGGATGGGAGCAACCTGAGCCCAGGGTGGCGGCATCAGTACCTTTCCTCGTCTGGCGTCTGTGCTCGCCCGCACAAAGGGGACCGAACTAGAACCAACCGGCGCGACCGGCGCGACCGGCGCGACCGGCACCGGCGCGACCAGCGCGATTGCGACCGGCGCGACCGGCGCGACCGGCGCAACCGGCGCGACCGGCACCGGCGCGACCGGCGCGACCGGCGCGACCGGCACCGGCGACTGGCGCGACCGGCGCGACCGGCGCGACCGGCGCACCCGGCGCGACCGGCGCGACCGGCGCGACCGGCACAACCGGCTCGACCGGCGCGACCGGCACCGGCGCGACCGGCGCGACCGGCACGATCAGCACGACCGGCGCGACCGGCGCGACCGGCGCGCCCGGCGCGCCCGGTTGGGGGCCTCCGGGGGGCCTCTTGGGGCCATCTTGGGGCCTCTTGGTGCCTCCTGGGCGCTTCGGGGGGCCATCTTGGAGGGCATGGATCCAAGAAGAGGGGAGCTTTAATGAGCGCTGCCCCCTCGGAAGGGCAAAATGAGCCCAAAACCTTAGTAAAATCAATAATATTGCCTTGACGGGAGGGGGGAGCTTGCATGAGCGCTGCCCCCTCAGAAGGGCCAAATGGAGCCAAAACCGTAGTAAAATCAATGTTTTTGGCTTCAAGGAAGAGGAGGGTACCTTATCTCCGTCCCCCCGTCGGGGCCAGAATCCTCGTGAGGGGTGTCGTTTTTTAGCCCTCCGAGGAGTCGAAAAAGACCCCCCCGGCGACCCGCGGAACACCCCCTCCAGGCCCAGGGGGAGGGGGGAGGGGGAGGGGTAAACCCCTCCCCGAAGGGGAAGAAGGGGGGTTGAGGACAGAGAGAGCTCGCTGAACCACTCACGCCCAAAGGGCTGGTGGGATTTGAGGATGTCTCGAGCGAAACGCTTGTTTTTCAGAATTTGTTGAGGATGTCTCGAGCGAAACGCTTGTTGTGTGTTATAGATTGTCCTCTCCTGGGGGCCTGAATTCTGAGGATCTCTCAAGTGGATTCGTGCCCTGGTCTTGAGGATGCCTCGAGCGAGACGCTTGGTTTCACGCCTCCAGGTGGCCCAGACAGATGTCTAGCATGAGGATTTGTTGAGGATGTCTCGAACCAGAGGCTTGTTTTCACGTGTCCAGGTCGCCCAGGCGGATGTATAACATGAGCATTTGTTGAGGATGTCTCGAGCGAGACGCTTTGTTTGCACGTGTCCAGGTTGCCCAAGCGGATGTCTAGCATGAGGATGTGCTGACAACGTCTTGAGCGAAACGCGTGTTTTCACGTGTCCAGGTCGCCCAGGCACAGCACAGCCCTCGGCACGGTACATCAATATCGATACCTTTAGCATTGCAGCCTGGCATGTTGCTTGGCACGTTCCGCGGAGCGTCCCGTGGCGAGTCCCCCTGGCACGTCCCTCGGCACGTCCATTGCCACGTTCCGTAGCGCGTCCCCTTGGCACGTCCCGCGGTGCGTGCCCATGGCACGTCCCCTGGCACGTCCCCTGGCGCGTCCCTTGGGACGTTCCGCGGCGCGTCCTCATGGCATGTTCCCTCTGTCGATTAGTTCTGGGGCAGCTACCATCTGCTCAGGCAGCTCGAGCTTACGATCCAGATCAGTTCGGTGAGGACTCGGATGCCAGGGAGGACTCGATCCACAACGCTATATCTATATCTATAGAGAGAGAGAGAGAGAGAGAGAGAGAGAGCACAATCGCGGCATGACGCATCGCAGTTCAGCACGGCCCAGCACAGCACAGCCGT